TCATAGAATTCAAGCCCAAAATGATAAAATTCTACATATTCATCTTCTAAATTCAACATGGATGACAAGGATCATGCTTAGGAGTATGAAACTCTTCCAATTCATGAATTCATGTATTTTAAACCTTGAAGACTTAGAAAATATGAATGCATGTAAGTGACAACTCCCAATTCCACATGATTATCAAAGCTCATGCTCAAAACTTGAAGAATCGAACCAAATACTTGCATGTATGTACAATTTCATCTCAATTCCTACAATCTTTGTTCAACTCACACATTTAACCTCATTATCTTCTTAAATCCACAATTTAAGTGACTGAACTCCCAAATTGAGGTTGAAACTCTTACCTATTATATTCAGTGAGGCTAGGTTTAGCAATTTCTTGAGCCTAACTTCCAAAGTCTTCAATCCTCTAAGCCAATTCCTCCAGATTGAGTTTTTCTCTCTCTAAGATGAAGATTTCTCTCTCTATATAGCTTAATCTTAGCAAAATGGTGAAGATGAGCTCAAAATTATGAGCCTAGGCACTAACTCAACATATATATAGTGGGTGATTAGCTTAAGCTAATTAAGTATGATTAAGACTAATCAATCTTAATTTAATTCAATTTAATCTAATTAATTTGATCCAAATCAATTTTTAATTAAATTTCACCATAGGCTCTAAAAATTATGTTGAACACAATAAATTAATCAATTTTGGTTTCTAACGCCTCTATAGCCCTTAATTTCGGATTATAGCAGAAATTGTAACAGATATGTCTACAATCAACGTATAGGCATCCAAAAATTACATAGGACACACAATTAGCATTCAGATTCATATTAGGCATATAAACACATATATAATTAATGAATTAAAAGCTTAATACGTAATAGGGTTGTCACACAATGACTTCTTCTTATTCTATGTGTGTGTGTGTTGGGTAGGGGGGAGGGGAACTAGGATGCACATGTTGCTACCATGTTCGGCAAGCAAAAGATATTTAAAAAAATGGGGACACGACCAGACACATGTTGGCTCATGTGCTTCTTAGGCGCAAGACTTATCCAAGGCAGTGCAAATGTTTTAAGGCCGAGAAATTGTAATTAAATGATCATTCTCTCATACGCACAAAGATGCACGATCCTAAGTAATGATAACTATTGTTGGGATAACATGGTGCCATTATTGGCACCTTAAGGTATGCAATGCATGCACAAATAAATCAGCAAATTGGAAGTCTTATTTGTAAGTCAAGGCACTTCTAAGCTTAGAAACCTATCTAAAATGATCTCAGCTATTTTGCATTTTATTATTGAAGGCATCCTCAATCTAGGTGGGATTAAAACACTAAAGCTTCTAGAGTGTACTATTTCTCTTGCCAACCAATCTACGATTATCATCTTGACTACCCAATTTCCTAATATGCCATCAAGCTACACACCAATGTGCCATAATTGCAGGAATGATTAATCTTAGTTGATGTCAATGTTGTTTTGTTCAACTTTGTTTTGTCAATCTCAAGTCAGTACCATCATGGTTGTTCCTACCAACCTTACTGTCACCACCAACAATTGATTATCATGTTCATTCACCTTCTTATGCCAACAAAAGAATAATTAGGAAGATATGCCAAGTCCTTTAATTTATGATAAAGTAAATGTTGATAAACTTTATGCACATCAGATAACTAGTAGAATAACAGAGCTTCCATAAGAACTGAGAGAGAGGTTTGTGCCACACAAATGGGCCGAGCTAAGTCAGGATTTGGGCCACTGTTATGGGCCTTTCGGCTAGTTCGGAGAGACACCCAGCGTTGGGCTGAGGTACTTAGTCAGCTTAGTCCAATGCTGAGGCGATGAAATGGTGGTGTTGCTTCCGACCGGGATGAGGGTAGCTCATGACCTCGATCGGACAGAGGGATGACTGAGATCGGTGGCTCAGCTACTCTTGGGCTAACTGTGTCAGCCCTAGCTCAAGGCCGGGCAAGGTTGGCTAGGGCGAGTTAAAACGAGCTGTAGTTGGCCGGTTCGGCATCTTGGAGTTAGTTCGATTGGTAGAAGTTGCTTTTGGAATGGATAACCACACGCTATATTGCGGATAACTAGGCAGGAACTATAGCGTGGCCCAGTTGAAGAGCAGATGGGGGATCCCACTGTTAGTACGCGTCAATACCGTTTGGCTGTTTTGTTGATACTATTTGGCAGTATTGTCACATATACACATGTAAGACGAGGAGGGGATAATACATCCACTTGTCTAGGAGTAGACGAGCAGGGTAGTGTGCACACAAACTATATAAACCTTATAACACCTTTATGCAACATTTCTGCAATCTTCCTTACACTAAGCTATCTTCTTTTTTGTCCTTTTCTAAGGGTGCTAACTTGATCGTCGGAGGAGTTTTTCAACAACACACCCGTCGGGTAGTTCACCGTCATTGTGTTTTCAGGTTCAATAACATTGTTCGGAGAAACACGAAGCTTGGATGTAAAGAGTACAGAAGAGTGGAATATTTTGCTCCCTGTACAATTGACATCGTCTGTGGGAAGCCAAATAGACAAAATCTTGACCTCCAAGTTCGTCTGATCACTTTCCATAGCGACTGACGACATTCCGAAGTACGTTATCGATGGTATTACGCCAGAATCAATTTGGTAGCAAGATGACTTGCCCTCCATTCCGACAATGACTGGTTTGGAGACCTCCATGCGAGGACCCTTCAGAGACACGTGAGACAAACGCACAAGAAGTTCTGGGCGCTCTCTAAGCCTAAAAGAACGCTGCCGACAGCGAAAATCGTACACTTAGCACCTGGAGAGCAAACTGAGAGACCAAGATGTCATCATCAGAAGAATGGTGACAAAGTTAGAGGCTATGAAGCGCCAACTGAAAGGAAAAGGGTGTTGGAGTAGGAAACCACAGTGAGTGTGTCTAGTCCCACCATTTAGGCAGTTGTAGTAGGCGGCCGACGCCTTCAGTTTCCATCACCAGAAGGTTCAAAGCTGACGACTTCGTCGCGCCGGCAGAGGTGTCTTGCACTAGAGACAGTAGCTATCGACCTTCGCGTCTATCGACGATTTTGAGATACTCCTATTTCGATTAATCGGGAGATTTGAGAGATATATTGGATGAGCGAGCGCACCGGAGAGAGGCATAGAGGGTGCCAGCATTGCAACGGCTAGCCTACAATGATCGTGCCAACGAGAAGGTTATAATGCCACCCTCGCGTTTGGTTGCGCACATACCACTAGATAGAGACTTGGCGAGACTAAGCGCTACCATTTTTTTTCCTTGAGATAGAAAACACGCCGCTCCTCGCCAGTTTTCACCAGCCAAAATTCATGCTCTATGATGAAAAAATCGACCCGTACATGCACGTGAGCTACTTTTGGCAGGTGATTGCTGGCCACAGACGAAATGATGCATTGATGTGTCTCATTTTCTCATCGAGTTTAGGTGAATTGGGTCTAAAGTGGTTCGAGAGGCTGCCAAAGGAGAGTATCGAGAGGTGACAACAATTGGTGAAGGCGTTTGTCACTTAATTCAAGATGAACACCAAAACGCCCAAAGAGGTTGACCATCTTTTGGGAATCAAGATGGAACCAGGTGACTCTTTGAAGGTGTGTAACGCCAAGTATTGGAAAACATTCAACGAGATTCTTGATTGCCTAGCGAAAATTGCAGTCTTTTAGTTAGACATAGACTCAAAGACTCGCTTACCATAACGAACCTTCAACTATGGAGTTATTCATGCAGCGCATCAATGAACATATTCGAGTCGAGGATGACGCGGGTGTCGTTATCGTAAAGGCAAATTTGGTAATAGTGGATAAGAGAATTATAGGGAAAATTCACATTGTCAGACAAAAAAGAAACTATCCGGACAGCCGTGGAAGAGAATAGAGCCATGGAAACAATCACAATAATAAGAACTGCAACTCCGACCAGACAAAATACCTTCGCGATGCCGCGAAGGACGCTAAGAGAAAGTTGAACGCCCGGATAGACATCACCACGGTCTTTAAAATCCCAATCTGTCGCATCCTTAGCGAGATCCAGAACAAGGCATATATCTGGTGGCTAGCTAAGCTGGGAGATGCCCAAAGAGGCTTTAACCTGCGATATCGCTGCACATACCATGACGAGCAAGGACACCGCACAGAAGATTGCATACCCTTGAAGCAGCACTTGGAAAATTGGTGGTAGCTGGACATTTGGACCAGTACATCGACGGAAGCATTGAGGTTGCGTCTCAACGCCAAGTTGAACCTAACGGCTTAGCTGCCTTGGACACCCCGCCCTAATGTGTGAACAAACTTATGTATATTTGTGAAAACTTACACACTTGTGAAATCACTTATGGCTTTTGTGAAAACTTATTTATTTTTGTGTTGTTCTAAATTACTTGAATCAAACTTACGCATATTTGTGAAAACTTACGCATTTTATGAAATCACTTATGGGATTTGTGAAAATTTACTCGTTTTTGTGTTGTTCTAAATTATTTGAAACACACTTATGCAATTTTTTAAAACTTACGTATTTTTTGAAATCACTCACGGAACTTGTGAAAACTTATCTATTTTGAAACACACTTACGTAATTTTTTAAAACTTACGCATTTTTTAAAATCATTTACATAATTTGTGAAAACTTATCTATTTTTGTGAAAATTTATCAAGTTTTGTAAAAATTTATCCATTTTTGTGAAAATACTTACACATATATTGTGAAATCTATTATTTTAATAGTTTTACTTGTAAGTTAACCTGTTTGGCAGGTCAACAATGCATAAGTTCAAACACAATTTTGTATAATTTCTAACACAAACTTGTATAATCCAAAAGGAAAAATGTATAAAGACTCGTATGCAAGGCATACTTAAATAAAATCTATATATATATTATATATACGATCCCAAATGTCCATCGCGCACAGTCACACTCTCAAGGTTGTCTCTGAACAACAACCTTCAAAGAACAATTTCTACATAGCCTTTCTCTTGTTTTCAAACTCACTCACTCACTCTCTCTCTCTATTTCTTTGACGTTGCTCCTCTTCCCTTTTCCATCGTTGCTCGAGCCGTAAGATCTAGATTTGTAGCTCTGTTACCTTGCGGCGTCTGAGACGTCAATCGCCGCGTCGCCATCGCTGTGGACCTCTGAGGACGATGATTCAAATGATTGCAGATCCAGTCACTCTCTGTACTTGGCAGACCTACGACGAGAGATCAAACATCCTCAAATGGTTCTTCGCCGTCTCTGTCGAAATCTACGCCGTCGACTACATCAAGGTTTGGTTCGGCTCTCTCTCTCTCTCTCGCTCTCTTTCTAATTTTAGAGCTGAACTTTGCCATCAATGGCTGCCTTAGAGACCGGCAAAGCATCGATTCTGCAATACGCATTTGGAAATGTTCTCTCATTTCTCATACTCCTCCTTATCTTTCTTTTCGCATTTTCGATCCGACTTTTCTCTGTGACCATTCATACACTGGGGTGTTTGGGAAGAAAAAAAATAGCTTAATTTAGGCTAAAATTCACGAAAATATAAAATAAGCTAAAATAGTTAATAAGACAAAATATCACATAAAATCTATAATCGTTTCACTTTTTCTCTCACAAACATCACATCCAACCATAAAAAAATCTAATTATCTTTCCAAATACAAAACTTTTAACTTACTAAAATAGTTAAAAACTAAAATAGCCTACTAAAATAGCAACTTCCCAAACGAAGCCAATGATTTTCAATGTTGGTTTCATATTTGTTTCATTGTGTTCCTTTAATTTTATACATTTACTGCATATGATTGTTGCATGATAGTAAAAAAGCGTAGTAATTTGCCAATTTTCAGTCTTTTAATTGATCGTATGAATTTTGTTTCAGGTTATAAAACTGTGAGTGTGATTCATGAGTTCAATCCTTATTTCAGTTACAAAGTTACTCAGATCTGAATACACAAATCTGGATTGAACAGATTTTTATTATTTGTTTGATTTTTTTTTTTGGGATTTGGCTTGTTGTTGTTGAATAATGTTATTATCTTTTTTTTTTTTTTTTTTTTTTTTCATTGCAACTAATAAAGAGAAAGAGATGTGGAGATAGAGAATTTTAATAGATAACTCTCTCCTCTAGCTCTCCTAACCCATCTCAACAGATCATCACCTCTTGCTTCAATAGATAAAAAAAAAAATTTTGAACAGATAAAAAAATTGAATAGATAATTTCAACAGATAGGAAAAAATAAAAAAATTTAAATAAATAAGAGCAAACATATTTACTTTTTGACAAATAGAGAGAGAGAGACAGATATATTAGGTTTAACAGATTGATACAAAATTAAAAAGATAAAAAAGATTTTTTGATAACAGATAGAGTTTGTTTAACATATAAGAACAAAATTTGATCAGAAAAGATTAAAAAATTGAATAGATAGGATAAAAAAATTGAACAGATATATATAAATTTGAACAGATAAAAATATTTGAACAGATAAGAAATAATTTGAACAGATAGTCCATGAAAAGTCAACAGATAAAAAACATCAATAGATAAATTAAGGAGTAAAATTGAAAACAAAATGTTTTCAAAATCAACAAAATGACTTATCACAAAACTATTTCATAAAGTGTCAACATCTCACCAAAAAAAAAAAAAAAATCCACCTAATTTAATATCTTATATCTTCTTTAAATTAGACTTTTTAATAATTTTTTCTTAAAAGTAAAAACAATAAAAGTAAAATCTGAAAAAGAAATGCATCCATTCTGAGTAAAATTAATCCAAAAGTAACTCCGCAAATTTATTATTATTATTATTGTTGTGTACTCCACCACACTATGTTGCCATTATCAGGGTCTAAAGCCCAAGAAAACCCACTTTTCTGAACAGCGTGGACGATACCACGCTCTGTTCCATTAAGACACACACTAGTAAGCGCCATCGGAGTATCTTCAAGGAAATCAGCATCCACAATCGGGCCAGGCGGGCAAACAGGTTTGGAACCAATAAAGCAAGCAATGAACCACACATCATAACCCCCAAATCGTCTATACCACTTGATCTCACCAGACTCCAAATCCAGACCCATCACAGAATTGGAGTGATTCTCAGCTTCCTCACACCGGTCCGGATGAGTAGGGACGGTTCGATTGTTCCGGTTTTGGTGGCACTGTCGTATGGTGAGAGGAGCTGAGTATAGGTTTCCGGTGGCGATGTAGACGTCGTTTCGGCAAGTGTCGATCAGAGGACGATTACTTCCCCAGACGGCGGCTCCGGCGTATTGCCCGGTGGTGCCGTTGTTGTCGGGAAGCATGAAGGTCTGCCACTGAATAGCGCCTGTTTCGATAACCAGCTTCGCGAAGCTTCCGCGGAAGGTGCAGCATTTCTGATTGCTCACTTCTTCTTCTTCTAGCGAGGATACTCCAACGTAAAAACTTCTGTACCCAAAAAAAAAAAAACACTATTTTGTACAAATTCTATTTATATAGTAATTATTCATAAGATAATGATAAGAAGAATAATTTGCCAAAAAAAAGTTTATACAACAAAATTCCAAATAATAATTTGACAGTGAAAAATTCAATAGAGAAGAGTGAAATTCAAATCTATGACTTTTTGTTTTTGGAATTGGAACCCAAGACTTAGATCTGACAAAAATTACTCTCATCATGTGACACATAATATGTAATAAAAATTTTATTTTATTTTTCATTTATTTGAGTTACACATATATCTAACGGATGGATAAAAGGCATCAGTTTGGATTTCAAGAACAATTTGGATCTTCCAAAAAATAAATTATATAAATTAACTCATCATAATGAAATTTTTGCCTATTAGAAGGCATTTTGATGGATAAAAGCCCCTAATTAATTTAGCAAGGATTATTTCCAATCCAAGAAAATAAATGACAAGGTACTGTTTACATTGGAAATTCAGACAGTTCATTTCTTCAAACAAATTATTCATATAAAAATCAATTGATTGGACATTCAAAAAAATATAAGCCTATTTTCAAAATCAAACTTGCTATCTGTTTTATATATATGACTAACCTGTTGTGAAATGTTCCGGACATGGTAACAACAGCGGCTGGATGGCTATCGAGCAGGGTTGACCAGACAAGCTTCCCGGTGGTACGTTCTAGGGCAACAACCAAAGCTGGCCCATATATCCCGACAATGAGGAGATCACAGGCCACAGTTAAAGCCAACACCGTGGCGGTGCCATTGCCAGGGTGGATAGTTGCATTAAGGCCAGTTAGCTTTTGGAGGTCCTTTTTCCACAAGACTGAACTATTGATGATTTTAATGGCATAGATGAACCCATCCGATCTAGCAGAATACATAGTGCCGTTAAAAAATGCAGGCATTGCATATAGGTCTTTCCTCCCTGATTTGAATTTCGACTCAAGACTAGGGTTTGAAACAGGTGATGGGCTGATCTGGGTTTCTTCATGGGTATATATACCGTTATGTATACCACCATCATGATTCAACCAACCTTCTGAACATGTATGGTCTCTCCTTTTATGCCACTGCAAAGACAAAACATGTTAGTTTGAGAGAGAGAGAAAAAAAAAAGAAAAACAGAGAAAGAGACTAACATGTGAATGCAAACTAGCGGTGAGACTGTGTAGACAAAAGACGCATAGGAACAGCACCAAAAGATTGTTGCAAGTTTGGGTTGGTGCCATGGAAGTGGAATCCCTGTTATTGAAATACATCCTCTATGTTGTCTATTTATTGTCAATAAGTCTACGGAGACATAATTGACAGAACAGACCACATAACCAACAAAATAAAATACTAAGTGAAGCAAGATTGAAACTATTTCTTTATAGCGAACCCCATAATCAAGGCTGACTTTTTCTTTATAGAAGTATGGTCAGAATTGTGATATTTTGGCTGATTATATTGGTAGACTTATTGATATTATCACTTCTATAATAATGATGTAGTAAATGTTGCATACTCACAAAATCTCAGTAAATATTTAAAATTTAAAGTGTGCTGATCACATATTTATTTTTAATGCGACTCATACGACTACAAATTGTAATGGATTAAACACACTAGTGTTTATTTGGAGTTTCTATTTTGGGTGCAGATCTCACTGGTTTTGATTTTTGTGTTTATTTTGGGTTTTGTAAAAATTTGAATAAGGATGGGGGTGGTGGAGAGGGTGGAGAGAAGTGGATAGTGGTGGATAATGACAGAGATAACTATTCGGTTAAGGGAGGAAGGAGATGATATGTGTAACCTGTAGAGTAAATACTCAACATTTAAAGTGTGCTGATCACATATCTCACTAAATATTCAAAATTTAAAGTGTGCTGATCACATATTTATTTTTAATGTGACTCAAATGACTACATTACAAACACACTAGTGTTTATTTTGGGTGCAGATCCCACTGGTTTTGATTTTTGTGTTTATTTTGGGTTTTGTAAAAATTTGAAGGAGGGTGGGGGTGGTGGAGAGAAGTGGCTGGTGGTGGATTATGACAGAGATAACCGTTTGGTTAAGGGATGAAGGAGATGATAGGTGTAACCTGTAGGGTAATTGTTTTTGATGTTGAAGATTAGTTAGGTAATTTTATATTTTCTGTTAATAGACAAATTTTGACAAGAGATATTTATAATTTTCAAACCATAAAGAAAATTTTATATTTTTATTAAACCTCAAAGGGTGTATTTGAAATTTAGTCTACATTTTTTAAAAGTATTCACTCACGCTCTGAAAATTACATCCCCTCCCTAAGGTTTAAACTTCCATTGAAATATAATCATTCCGTTAGTCAACCATTAAGTCAACTAATAGAAAAAACTAATATAAGAAATTAATTTTTTAAATGCCTATTTTACTATTTTTCTTTTAAAAAAAAAAAAATTACTAGATGAGTAAAGAAAATCTGTAGGCAATTACAAAAATTCTATCCATACATATATTATTATACTAGTATTAAACATTTAGGTAATGTTATGGTCCGCAAGCTTTTGTAGTGTTAATTATCACAAATATTATATAATTAGATCACTTTCAATCATAACTAAAAGAAATAGTTATAACCAAACACCGCATGAAGTATAATCAAATACCTTCTAAATTATAATCAAAATAATATTATAATAAATAGTTATAACTAACATAATAGGTCATAACTAAATACATGATTGGGGCATATAAAATTTTTCTAAACGGTAAATTGTTTATTAATTTTATATATGCCAACAAAGGTAAAATAGGCATTTTAAAAAAATTAGTTGCTTATATTAATTTTTTCCATTAGTTGACCTAACGGTTGACTAACGAAAGGATTAAATTGTAATGAAAGTTTAAACCTTATGAAGAGAGATGTAATTTTCAAAACGTGAGAGGAATACATGTAATAAAGACAAACTTGAAAGGGGTGTCAGTGTAATTTACCCTATAATTATAATTAGGTGTGAATATAATTTCTCAACAAAATATGCCAGCTAAGTTATCCCAAAGTCAATGATCAGTATAATTAATAACGCTACAGACCCCGAATTTGTTGGAATCTGTAGGATGACTGTTTCATGCGAGCTTTGAATATGACAGATGTTTATATTACTAAAGTCAAAAAACTTCTGAGCTAAAGTTCAGTATAAAATTAACTCTCACCATTAATCAAGCACAAAAATCCACTTACCAGAAAGAGATTTGAGACAATTTAAACAAGAAGTAGGCAAGCAATGTAGACAAACAAAGATGAAATAAAATAACATTCAGGTGCAGAACAAAAGCCTTGAAATACCAAAAGAAGCTTAGGTCATTGTGTTGCAGTTGCGATCATCTTCTTAAAATCTATCTTGTCAACCTTCACCTCTCCGTCAATGAGTTCATAAACATAGACAACAACACGCAGGCCGTCAATGTCCATGAGCACGAAACTTCGGTTCACATCATATGTGATGCTGCTGTATGCACCAGTCGCAGACCAGGGGTTTATGACAACCCCACCCTCGTGTTTGTAGGCCTTAAACTGACGGGTGTGACCACTAACAAGAATATCCACATCTAACTGTCTCTGGAGTATGGCTAGAGAATCAAGGTCTCCCCATGGGACAACCGTCAAAACATAAAGAGATAATAAGAATGGGTTAGAATTTATTCGTTATAAAGATACAAAATGAACAAGATAAACAAATACAAATTCAGCAAAATAAATGTTCAATAGCAGTATACTCCACTTGGAGTTCAGGAAAAATGATAAACCAGCAGAACTGGTGACTGGCATGGAAAACCACTGTGCTACTACTATGCTTTTTGGGTGAATCTGCTACTACTATGCTTCAATCACAAGAAAAGCGATAATTAGGTGACAACTACGTATTCCATGAAAAAACCCAAAATAGATGAGGAAGTTCTCCATTAACAGCTTTCGTGAAGTTAAGCTACCCAACCACTTCCAAAATTTGCAGGATCATGCAGCAAACTAATAACTAAGCAAGCATGGCACTGCTAAGAAAAAAGGGCAATTCTAGTGAGAAGGCATATTACACCAACACTTCCTTTGGATTCGCCTGAAAATGAGTTTAAAAGGTCACTATAAGTTGTCACATCACACTCTCTATTTTTCTGCATATCTTTTTGTAAAAAATCAAAAAGTTAATAAAATAACCTGTTTCCAAACGAGGCCACTCCATAATTTGAAAATGTATTTGCAACAATTAAGGACACCTTGATGGCACTTCTCCAACACTCTTCCAATGATCTATCTGGTGCAAATACCTCTCACAGAGCAATGTCTGACATTCTTGGAAATGTGATCCGATGGGCATGCATGCACTAAAGACTGCAATGGACAACAAAACTCGAACATGCAAAGGGAACTTCCAGTAGATGAAAAGAATGTAGTTGCAAAGAATATAACTAGAACAGTGCTGATAGCACTTATTGTATAACTGATGACATTTGTTGAGCTTCATTATTCATATTAAGCATTTGTCAACATAAAAATTATGATAAGTTGTCCAACTTACATGGATGAATACATCAAATATTTGGCAGAATTATGCAGGTGATCATATTAGATTTTGTGAAATCAAAGATGATATGGCTAACAATTTCCTAGAAGGGGACATTCCAGTACAGGAAAGAAAGCTACCCCCCGTTACAATGAATCAGCAGAGCTTTGTTCAAAGCGAAGTACCTATTTGTCCTTCATTCTCATTTATCAGAAGGATTACCAATAGCACTACCAAATCTACTCTCTGGAAAACCAAGCACAGCCTTACCACAGAAGGCTCACAAACAGAACCAAAATGATGTAATTGAAGCTACAGTTAAAAACATTAAACATTGAAGGATTGCATCATTTAAAACCCCTGTAAAAAGAGTAGCACTTGATAGAAGTACAAAACACAATGATACTATTACCAAACGATTTTTACTGGTATAAAATCATCGATATCTCAGACTAGATGCCTAATAGAATTATATTCTTCACTATATGCTGAAGCAAATATACTTTTGAGGTTCAATTAAGAAAAATTACATTCATGCATTTAGATCAAAAGAATCAAAACTGGTCACCATCCCAAACCTCTTAAAAATAACGATAGAAGGAAAAGTAAACCTGATGACCATGGCACAGCCCAAGCTTGAATTGTCCAATTGTAAGTGTTTTGGTTTCTGGATAACGGGCATCTTCATCATATTCACCGCGAGTAATATGCAAGCCAGGGCAAAGGCTCTTCAAGTAATCATGAACTTCCTGCTTATGAAAATACAACAATATTTGATTAGAGAATGGTGCACATGGTTTTAGATAGACAGGAAGAAATATTGTAGTATTGTGTGCCCAATCAGATCAACAGCATAACCAATATGTAATATTACATCTAAATTGACAAAATACAAAAAAAAAAAAAAAAAAAAAAACCTTCAATTTTATTTTATTATTTTAAAAAAAAGTAATTTTACAATCACTAGATTTGGGTTGAGGTTCAAGTAGTGTGTGAATAATGCCATTTAACCTTTATGATGTAATATTACCGGAAGCCTATGCATTGTTCGTCTATGACTAGGCTACCACTAACTTAAAATTCCAAGACAACAAAGTAGATGATATCCCAAAGGCAAAATACATAAAAAGCATACTTGTAACCATTTAAATTCATTCAGAAAGAAATTAAATATATTGTCCAAAATAAATTTATACAGAAAATGACCAAACAGCCCTTCAGTAAACCAAAAACATTTCCATCTCTTAAATTTTGCTTCATTTACAGGCCAAGAGATTATATTGTAAATCAAAACAAGACTGATCAAAAGCATAGGGTGTTGCGCATATAATTTGGTGACTAATTTCCAACATCATTATGTATATGACAAGGAAGCACCATAACTCCAAGCAGATTAAATTTAATAAAATTAACATAAAGGAAATCAGTCAGTAACTCAGAAAAGAAAAGAAAAAAAAAAAAAATGAGAAAACAGAATTACTTTGATACAGAGATTGCCAGTGCAAATAATATGCTGAATCTTGCCAGGAACAAGCATGGATTTGAACTTAGGAGGTAAATCTGGTGCCCTGTGTGGGATGTGAAGATCCCCAATTGCCAACACTAACACCATTCTCGGATTTTACAACAACAACCCAATTCCTCAAATTGCATCACTCATCACAATCTGCAACATTTTTCATAAACACTTCATATATAAGCACACGTATCGTCAAACAACATATATGGTTTAAAATCTTTGAAGGGTTCAAAAAAAAAAAATATCGATTTTTGAATTGATTTCTCCGTATCACTTAACTCCGTATATACAGAAAATTTCGACCAATTTGTTAGTTTGGAATGGCAGACAAAAGATTTTCACAGTCCACAGATCGCTACAACACTCATCGTTAAGGTCTACATTGAAAGTTAAAATTGCATTTGCATATATGTGAGAGTTTATATATGTATATATAATCAACACATTGAAATGAAATTACCAGCAAAAGAGATTCAATTAAGTGAAGAGTTTATGAACATAAAAATAAATCATCGCACTTACCTTCAAAATCCCCTAACCTATTATCGATGGTGAGTTTGAAAGTTACGGAATGAAGATGCTCTGTGTTCCTGACAAAGTACTCGTAACGACTCCTTTTGGTGGACATGACCTTAAGCCAGTCGTGGATCCGGGTTAAAAAAGGGCAGAAGATTACCTTACACTTCTTTAAATTTAAAAAAAAAAAAAAAAGGAGTATGAATTTAACATAATTATATTACGTTTCTTTTGAAGTTTTAATTTATATAATTTGATTTATTTTTTATTATAAATTCATTAGTTGCATTAATAAAAAAAAATATTATCATTTCTTTATATTAAAATATATATTTTACCTTCTCTATCTTTATATTTTTATGCCATTTGCATTAATTTTGATATGTAAATCTTACTAGAAAGATTGTTAGTGTAATTATATAAAAATTATAAATTTTGTTATATTTTTTTTCAAATAAAAAAAAAGAAGAGCGTAATTTACACTTAAAAAAAAGACCTTCAACAAAATAAATAATGTTATGAATCTTGATTTTTTTGTTATTTTGACAAAGGTCAACTCAAAGTATTCACCCCTCGATTACTCCCAATTTTGTATGGATTTTAAGTAAAAGTTTTACTTGTTTTTAAGTCGTTTTTGTGGAGAAGAATAAAAAAGATTTGATTTTCAATGAGAGCACAAGAATAAAACAGAATGAGTCAAGAGGAAAAATAGTGGGAAAAAAAAAAATTTTAATAAATTCAAAGAAAAAAGGGATTTTTATTGATAAGTCCAATTTAGAAGTGTTTTAACCCAAGAAGTCCATGAAGGAATTTTTTAACCCATTTAGTCCCATGTATGTATAGTTTTATTCCATAAAGTCCATTTTCTTGATTTATACTATTTTCTTGGACACTTATGCCCTTATATTTAATTTTGATACCCTCATAAATATTTTTTGAATGATTAGCTATTTAATGATGTGAACATTCATATTTCAAAATTCACATTGGTAGGAATGTAAAATTGGCCCGTGGGCGGCCCGAAACCCGGCCGCGAGATGGAGCGGGCCCGGCCCGTTGACAATGTGAATATTCACATTGACATATTAACATTCACATTAATAGAAGTGTAAAATTGACCCCCGTCCCGTGGCGGCGCGAAACCCGCCCGCGGCCCATGGGCGGCCCGGGGCGGGCCCGACCCGGCCTGTTTGACAATGTGAATATTCACATTGACATGTTAACATTCACATTGATAAGAGTATAAAACTAGACAGCAGCCCAGGGCGGGCCCAACTCGGCCCGGCCCGGCCCGTTGACAATGTGAATATTCACATTGACATGTTAACATTCACATTGATAAGAGTATAAAACTAGACAGCAGCCCAGGGCGGGCCCAACTCGGCCCGGCCCGGCCCGTTGACAATGTGAATATTCACATTGACATGTTAACATTCACATTGATAAGAGTATAAAACTAGACAGCAGCCCAGGGCGGGCCCAACTCGGCCCGGCCCGGCCCGTTGACAATGTGAATATTCACATTGACATGTTAACATTCACATTGATAAGAGTATAAAACTAGACAGCAGCCCAGGGCGGGCCCAACTCGGCCCGGCCCGGCCCGTTGACAATGTGAATATTCACATTGACATGTTAACATTCACATTGATAAGAGTATAAAACTAGACAGCAGCCCAGGGCGGGCCCAACTCGGCCCGGCCCGGCCCGTTGACAATGTGAATATTCACATTGACATGTTAACATTCACATTGATAAGAGTATAAAACTAGACAGCAGCCCAGGGCGGGCCCAACTCGGCCCGGCCCGGCCCGTTGACAATGTGAATATTCACATTGACATGTTAACATTCACATTGATAAGAGTATAAAACTAGACAGCAGCCCAGGGCGGGCCCAACTCGGCCCGGCCCGGCCCGTTGACAATGTGAATATTCACATTGACATGTTAACATTCACATTGATAAGAGTATAAAACTAGACAGCAGCCCAGGGCGGGCCCAACTCGGCCCGGCCCGGCCCGTTGACAATGTGAATATTCACATTGACATGTTAACATTCACATTGATAAGAGTATAAAACTAGACAGCAGCCCAGGGCGGGCCCAACTCGGCCCGGCCCGGCCCGTTGACAATGTGAATATTCACATTGACATGTTAACATTCACATTGATAAGAGTATAAAACTAGACAGCAGCCCAGGGCGGGCCCAACTCGGCCCGGCCCGGCCCGTTGACAATGTGAATATTCACATTGACATGTTAACATTCACATTGATAAGAGTATAAAACTAGACAGCAGCCCAGGGCGGGCCCAACTCGGCCCGGCCCGGCCCGTTGACAATGTGAATATTCACATTGACATGTTAACCATTCCTATTGATAAGTGTTACATTGGCCGTTGCCCGTTGTGCAGTCCGACAGCATGACCTCAGGCCGGGGCGGGCCACCGGCCATGGCAATGTGAATATTACATTGACATGTTAAATTCACATTGATAGGAATGTAAAATTGGCCGCAGCCCGTGGGCGCTCGAAGCTGATCGATAGCCGAGAGCGGGCTTGACCGACCCGTGACAATGTGTATATTCCACATTGCATGTTAACATTAACATTGATAAGGTGTAAATTTGTTCGCTGCCCGACTCTGCCCGCGGCCCGGGGTAGGCCCGGACCCAAACCCGGGCGCCCACAGTTTCAGGCCGCTCGTGGGCGCGAGTCAATTTTACACTCTTATCAATGTGAATGTTAACATGTCAATGTGAATATTCACATTGTCAACAGGCCGAGCCAAGGCCGCCTCGGGCGCCACGGGCGTGGTATTTCGGGCGGCACGGGCAACGGGGCTATTGGTTCACTCTTATCAATGTGAATGTTAATATGTCAATGTGAATATTCACGTTGTCAACAGGGGTGGGCGGCCCGCCGACCCGGGGTCGGGCTTTGGGCTGCTCACGGGTCACGGGCCAATTTTACAACTCTTATCAATGTTATATGTTAATATGTAATGTGAATATTCACATTGTCAACGAGCCGGGCCGGGCCCGCCTGGGAGTGCGGCGGTTTCGGGCACCCCAGGCCATGGACCAATTTTTACACTCTTATCATGTGAATGTTAATATGTCAATGTGAATATTCACATTGTCAACCGGCCGGGCCGGGCTCGCCCCGCGCCGCCAAGGGCTTCGTGCGCCATGGACGCGAGTCAATTTCACTCTGATCAATGTGAATGTTAACATGTCAATGTGAATATTCAATTGTCAACACCGGGCCGGGCCACCCGGGCTGCCACGGGCCGTGGCTAGTTTCAAGCAGCCACGGGCGGGGCTAATTTTATACTCTATCAATGTGAATGTTAACATGTCGATGTGAATATTACATTATCAACGGTGGGCCGGGCCGCCCAGGCACCCCTGAGTCGCGGACGGTTTGGCCGCCAAGCCGGGTAATTTTTACGCTCCTATCAATGTGAATGTTAACATATCAATGTGAATATTTCACATTGTCAACGGGCCAGGCCGGGCCCGCCCAGACCCGGGCCCCGGCTTCGGCTGCCACGGGTCATGGGCTCAATTTTACACTCTTGTCATGTATTGTTAATGTTAATATGTCAATGTGAATATTCACATTGTGAACGGGCTGGTCGGGCCCGCCGGGGCGGCGGGCTGGTTTCGGGCCGTCATGGGCCGCAGGCCAATTTTCACTCCTATCAATGTGAATGTTAACTTGTCAATGTGATATTCATATTATCAACAGGGCCGAGCCGGGCTTATTTTTTTGGCCTGTGGGCCGGCCCGGCCCGACTCAATTTTTCGGGCACCCACGAGGATCGACATGGCCGGGCCCTACACATTGACGATATAAACATTTACGTTGAGGTGTGAACATTCACATTAAGTATTTTGGTAATTATTTCACCCTAGGATTATTGAAAATAAGAAATAATTGTGAATCAAATGGACATAAGTAGATGAAAAGGGTATTTTGGTCTTCTTATCTCAAATTGGACCTAATGGAATAGTCAAAAAGAATATGGGTTGGATGGAATAAAACTCTTAGAAAATGGATTTATCAAAAAAGCTCTATTTATTTGTAATTTTTTTAATAAAACTTAATCTTTACTAATTTGTAATATTTTGTCTAATATCAATCTTTTGTTATTTTCTTAAAAAACTCTATTATACTAGTAATTAATTTTTTAAAGAATAGGGGTTAGAGCATCTCCAACGGTATACCAAATGTTTCACCAAATCTGAGTTAAAAAGGGGTCATTTCCTTAATTTGATACTTCGCGCTCCAACGGTTCAACATCAAATCCGTTTCATCAAATTTGCGCTGGGCAACCGATTGGTTGACCGGCCGGTCGACCGGCTGGTCAACCGGTAGCGGCAAAAATTTTTTTATTTTTTATTTTTTATTACCGGTTTGAACCTTTTTTTTTTTGAACTTTTGGTGGTCAACCACCTAGGCAAATTTTTTTTTTTTTTTTTTTTTTTTTACCTTGACTTGTTTGAACCTTTTTGTGAACGGTCTGAACTTTCTCCGGGGCGACCGGTTGGTTAATCGGTTGGTCAATCGGATGGTCGACCCGTTCGTCTCATACCAACGGTTAGGAATAGTGCTTTGGTGAAATGCTTCGCCTGCACTCAGTTTGGTACCATTTTTGCTGAATTCTGGATTTGATATCGATTTGGTGAAACCGTTGGAGCTTAAAAAAGTGACTTTTTCACCAAATTTTAAATTTGATGCTAGGTTTGGTTCACCGTTGGAGATGGTCTTAGGCCCCAAAATTTTGAACTATATGAAACCAATTTTATAAGTTATTGTTCAAATTTTACATCAAGTTAATTAATTGATAAAAAATAATTATTAAAAAAATTATGTTTAGGCCTAGTTTGGCTACTGCCAAAAAAGTGCACTTATTTCATCTTTTTATCTTTTTTGGGTCACATCAATCAACATCTCCTCTCTACTTTTTCTACACATAATACAAAAAAAATCAAAAAGTACACTTATTTAGTCTTCCCAAACTAGGCCTTATTCTTTTTAAAAATGAGATTAGGGTGAAAACAAACATTTGAAAACTTTTAAGTGAGGGCAAAAGTGTAAAATAAAAAACATTCACAAAAACTAAAGCAAAACGAAACCCTTGTCAATATGTGATAAGTGAATGAGATTGAAACGAAGCGTTAAAAAACCCAAACGAAGTCGGAGAACAAGACAAGCCCTAATCCAGAGTCGAGAGAGAAGATGATGAAGAAGAAGAAGTAGTCACTGGTCAGAATCGAGGTCGGTGGAAGCTTCGTCGTCAGTTATTGATGTTCCTGTCAGGTAATTGCTGTTGTGAACTTGTGATTTTGATGCTGCATTGATTTTGATCCTAGGGGTTTTGTTTGCACAAGCTGTGCTAATTAATGATATACAAGAACAACATTGAATATGCTGATTCTCATTCCATAAGCTAATTAAATGATATGCATGAATAACATTGAATATGCCAATTCTCTTGCCACAATCCACATGGGTGATGTGGTCATTAAGGCTGTGTTTGGTTCAAGGTTTTGGGGAGGGATTTGAAAAAAGTAAAAGGAAAGGAAAAGGGAAATATAGGTGAAATAACATAGTTTTGCACACCTTTTCTCTTTTCATTTCTAAATCCCTCCCCAAAATCCATGACCTAAACACAGCGTAAGGGCTGAACATAGAAGCTTCATTATAGGATAATTTTTGAAAGTCTCATGTTAGATACACAGAAGCTTCATTATAGGATAATTTTGAAAGCCTCATGTTAGATTCTCAATGGGTGCGAAAAAATTCAAGCTCGTGTGATTTGCAGGTTATTATGCGTATTCAGAGTTTGAGTTTATTCACGAGGCTTTGTACATGCTAGACACTCGCCCCACTCTGCATTTCCTTAGCTGCAAGAGTGGGAAAAGAATTATGTAAGAAAATGCAGCTGGTATAGTATTTTCTATGGTTTTTTTAAATATGTTATGCAATGTAATCACATAATATAGTTTATGCCAGTGAAGGCAGGGTAGAAAACAAAATTTCTGAACTCCTCTTATTGGTGCAGAGCTTGCGTACACCATGGCCGTGACTGAGCAGTGGGATGTTTATAGCTTTGGGGTGGTGGTTCTAGAAACAATAATGGGAAGGTATCCAAGCGAACTACTTTGTTCAGTGTCATCATCATCTGCTCAAAATAGTCTGCTGAAGGACCTATTAGATCCCTGCCTGTTGTCTGCTGTCAATCAACTGATTGCTCAAAATTTGGTTCTCTTAGCAACAATGGCAATGGCATGCTTAAGTCCCAATCCGAGATCTCAGCCAACAATGCTGCAGGTGTCTTGAGTGTTTCTTGTTCACAGACCGCTGTTACCAAAGCCTCTGCAGGCATTACAGTGTGGGAGCTGATGAATCAGGAGATATATAATTCCATGGACGAAAATTAGGTGAGGTTGATATATAATCCCAGATAGTGTATGGTTTATTCTAGTTTTTTATTCAGTTTAGTGAATGTTTATTTTGTGCAGAACTAGCTTACACAATGGTTGCAACTGAGAAGAGCGATGTTTATAGCTTTGGAATGGTGGCGCTAGAAACGAGCGTGGGAAGGCATCCAAAAGAATTCCTCTCATTACTGGCATCGACCTCTGCTCAAAATATAATGTTAAATGATGTATTAGACCCGCGTCTTTTGCCTCCAGTTGATCCGCTAATTGCAGGGAATGTTGTCCTTGTTGCTGCACTGGCATTCGCATGCTTGCATTCTGAACCAAGATCTCGGCCAACAATGCTACACGTTTCTCAAAAGCTTCTCCCTCACAGCAACAGGAGGCCTCTAGCTACACTTCTTCATTCAATTTCACTATCTGAGTTACGAAATCAAGAAATGGATTTTATCCAATAAACTAATAAAGTAAAAATGATGAATAATGATTTAGAGGATGGCTAGTGTCAATCGTTATAACCATTATGTATATGTATATAAACATTGTTATATCAAAGTTAATGATTAATTTTGATTTTGTGATTTGTTATATATTGCTGAACTCCTTCACTGATTACGTGGCTAACTGTCTTAAGCATAAATGTGTCCATTATTTCTGCCTCTTCTCTCTCGGGTATGAGGTCTCCCTCTTTCTCCCTCTTCTATTCGGACTTGAATAAACAAAAAAACCGTAGAAAGGACTTCCATCATTCTCCTCTTTATTGGAGGGAGATCCGTAAAGAATCTATTTGGGATTGTTTTTGTTCTTTTTGTGAAAAAGAGATCTTTCAACAAGTGATTTGGGATCTTTTTGAGAACACTAGAAAAACTTGATGACTTTGCAAGCCTTTATGCATTAGCCTCATTTGTAATATCTGAGACAATTCTTGAGTTAAACAAATAACTGTCCTATCTTAGAATTGGGAACTGAATAATTACACTTACCGAGGACTTTGAATTTTTTAAACTGGCAGTCTGTTTTCAGATGAAATATTGGTATATGGATATGATTGAACAGTCTCAGATGCATTGAGTGGAGTATTTTATTTTATTTTTTTGGCAATAGATAGAGAGAATTTACTATTAAATCATTGAAATACATTAAACTGAAAATTAAAAAATCACCACAAATTCAAGACTTAAAAATTAGAAGAAATCTACTCCAAAAAAGGTACTAAACTTTTTTGTAATGTATGTTGTGACATTTTGTGTTGAAGTTACGAATATTGAATTTATGATGTAGATTCTAAAGTTAGGAATGAAAATATTATGACACTTTATCATATGTAATAAGAACATCCATCCCCAAGACATGCATATTAAGACTACAGCAGCTACCCAGGGAGTAAATCTCAATTTGTCACAGCAATTTAGCCCCGTTTGTAATCTCTGAGACAATTCTTGAGTTTCCAAGAACAAAGGCTTGACACATTATTTTTTTAAAAAAAAAAGGAAAAAAAAAATACACATAAAAGAAAAGAGACTGAGTCATCAATTCAATCACTCAAGTCATGATTTCACATTCAGGAATGTAGAAGGAAGGTTCATATATTTGCGGTCACTTTATATCTATATATACATGTATTTAACTTGTCATCACAATGACTATACTGGCTTGACTCTCCATGTGCTTGGGTCAAGATTGTGAGTGACACCAATATTTCAGAAAGATACTAGAGCTTTGATCCAAGGATGCATATTTAGAAAATCCATACATTCATTCAATTATGAGTATAATAATATGTTGTCTGACGTTGGTTCTGCTGTACTCATAGCCATATGCACGGCAGCTATTATTACTTCAGCCATAGTTTTCCTTACCTTACTTGCATTTGCATGCTTTCAACGTCGTGAGACCCAAAAACACCAAAATGAGGCAAGAGCAATAAAAAATGGGGATATTTGCTCAATATGGAATTACGATGGAAGAATTGCATATGAAGACATCATCAAGGCAACAAACGACTTTGACATCAAATATTGTATTGGAACTGGCGGTTATGGTAGCGTATACAGAGCTCAGTTGCCAAATGGAAAAATAGTTGCCTTGAAGAAACTCCATCGTTTCGAAGCAGAGGAACCAGCTTTCGACAAGAGTTTTAGAAATGAGGTGCAAATGTTAACTAATATACGGCACCGAAACATAGTGAAGCTTTATGGGTTCTGTTTGCACAACAAATGCATGTTCCTGGTGTATGAGTACATGGAAAGGGGAAGCTTGTTTTATGCCCTAAGAACGGATGTCGAAGCTGTTGAATTAGGATGGACTCAGAGGGTAAACATCATTAAAGCAATAGCTCATGCTCTATCCTACTTGCATCATGATTGCACACCTCCTATTGTTCACCGAGACATATCTAGCAACAACATTCTATTGAACTCTGAATTGGAGACTTTTGTCTCTGACTTTGGCACTGCTAGACTGCTATACCCAGATGCATCGAATCAAACAGTAATTGCAGGCACTTATGGATATATTGCCCCAGGTAGCAAAGTAATACTTTTTTCTTTCATACGTATTTATGCTTTCAAAGAAAGAGGGGAAAAGTAATCTAAAATGTTTAAATATTTTAGTGATTATCAATTTTTTTTTTCAAACTCAATTATTGATGATAGATTCAACATTTCAAAGAATCACACTTCATTAATTTCATAAAAGAGAAAGTGAAGTCTATGATTTTTTTATTAATTTTTTGTTTTTGCAGAACTTGCCTATACTATGGTTGTGACTGAAAAGTGTGATGCTTATAGCTTTGGGGTGGTAGCACTAGAAACAATCATGGGAAGGCATCCAGGCGAACTCCTCTCATCATTGGCATCACGATCTGCTCCAAACATAATGCTAACTGATGTCTTAGACCCGCGCCTTCCGCCTCCAACTAATCCAGTGGTTGTAGGGAACATTGTTCTAGTTGCTATGATGGCATTTGCATGTGTGTGTTCTGAGCCGAGATCTCGCCCAACAATGCAATGTGTATCTCAAGAGTTTCTTTCTCGAATGAAGACTTCAGTTACACCTCTTCATGCAATTTCACTTTTACAGCTATGGAATCGAGAATTGAGTTTTATCCAATAAATGAATAAACTCGATGCTTGAGCTTCCCACAAAAGAAAAATGCCCATTTAGAAATGTTGAGCATCATATTTTCTTCGGGACCTTGTTGTTACAGGGTTGCTATATATTATCAAACCTCAATTGTTATTTTTTTATATATTTTAAAAAAATATGTTTTCCCTGCAGCAATCCCAAGCCACAGAAAAGAATGTTCCCTCTAGATATTGTAGAATTTGAGTTCTAGTAATCTCTCCTATTTGAACAAGATGCAGCAATCTCGCATACATCCATATTAACAACTCTGATTTTTACTACAATTGGTATGCTTTCACCACATTTCATAATAGAACACAGTACACAACCCAGTTACATGGGTGTGGGACACCTCATGTGATAGGGTGATCGATTTCTGTATTCATAAACTTTTACTATGAAAAAGAACAGAAATGAAAAAAAAATAAAAAAATGATTCATATGAACTCAATGTTTTAGTTGACACGTTATTATGAGTGAATTTAGCAGTGATATTTTAAAATTTCAGTGTTGTCTACTGTTTCTAGCATTTGGGTTGACCCCAGCCTGTTCGACTTCCATTGCCATGAAGGTTGGGATCTTCTAATAACTAGTTAGGATCATTTTTTAACAATTTAGAAATTGATTGTTTTTAAGCCTTTATATATATACTAAATTGATACAAAAGATAAATTATAATAATCGCGAGAATAATTTACCTGATTAAAAAATACAAATACAAGAAATGAGAATGAAGAAAGAAAAGATCAAGAGGGAGCGAGTCATGAAAATTTCGAAGATGTGGATGGATGAGTTGCTTTAATAAAACGAAATGCAACTTGTCCAAATTATTGTGCCGCTCATGTGTGTCTTGGGGTAAGATTTTGTATGGATTTTTTTGGGTTCAAATTTTTAGTTTTAAATTAAGTTAAAATGTAACTTGTCAAAAATTAATGTGATTGTTAGTGTGCGAACTGTCATGTATCGACTCATTGGTAAGGCGAGTTTTCCACCAAACATCTTGCAATTCTTATCGCATCACTTGGGTTGGATTCTTGGACATAATGCAAGCATAGGTACGCAGTACCACTCGTGGAGCCCATTTCTCTAAATTATCTGGTCTTTTGAAAATTTTATAGTAGTGTTGTGTACACCCAATTGAATAGGTACATGACTCAAAAAAATAAGAAGCGGCTATTTTCAGAAGTAGATATTTTTTTTGGACTTACTGGCTTTTTTTTAAAAAACATACAAAAAAGTATAGAGATGTTGTGATCTCAAATAAGCCAATAAGCCAATAAATTGATTTTTTCTTGCCTTCCCAAAAGAGGCCAGAGTGAATTACATTGATCTCCCATCACAAACACATGGACTCCATTTATTTTAGTTTTTGAAAAGAGTTTTGAGTTGTATTTTGAAAAATAAGTTGTTGAAAATTAAAAATTTGTTTGGTTATGAGTTTTGAAAATAATTTTAGGATGATTTGTAGTTTTTTATTTTATTTATTTTTTTTGTAATTGAATAAATAGGTGTGAGAAAAAATTTAATTGATTGATGTGTAGAATATGAGAGAATGAGTGCGGAGAGAGGAGAGAAAAAAAAATTGATTTATTTATTAATAAAAAAAAGTAGAGAGAAGAGAAAAATAATAATTTTAAAAATTTATTAATCAAATATGTTTTTTAATTTTTTAATCTAACTATTAATTTAAAAATTAAATCAAACGCTACCATGATGTTGGGACTGTTTGTTACAGCTTTTGGAGGTGATTATAGTTTATTTTGATTTTGGAGTCTGCGTTGTGCCAAACTATTTAGTGTTATAGATTATTAGGTAAAAATAACTTAAATAAACTGAAAAAATTTGATTATTTAAAAGGTGAAATAAGAACACATTTAATTTTTACTTTCTAATTATCAAATTTTAATTTAAGAAAACTCCACCAAACATGCCGTCGTCAACATGCCGTCGTCAAAAACTAAATAGTATGCATGGCATAGGGGTTGAAGCTAGTACGATTTAAGTCGTCAATTGTGGAAAAGTCATTCCGTTGTTGATACGTTGCTGGACTTGTGAATAGATAGTTAGACCCAGTACAAGTATATAGGACACCTTTGATAAAAAATGAATTGCATGCAATCGGAAAAGAACTCACACATTACTGTGAACCTTCCTTGGGCATACATCATGATAGAAAGTGGATTAGCTTTTCTCTTGTTCACTTTGGCCTAATAATTGTAATTGTGTCACGTTAAATACTAAACAAAAAGTTTTTTACAAAAAAATCATCCTAACTATGAAAAATCAAATCATATGAAAAATAATAGCTACGTTGTTACATACATATGTATATATATATATATATATATATAATAATGCATTAGAGTTGAAATATTGATGACTCATCACTATATATAAGCAAACTGCTTATTTATAGAGAATCGTCAACAATAAGTTAAGCACATTATTTATTTATTGTTATAAATCAAAAGCCAAGAACAAAGGTTGATGAATCTGGGCCATTGGATTTTACTTTGTATTTGGTCAAGCATCCTTGATGAAATTAGTATTCAGTCCATATACCTTCAATCAAAATCAAAGAAAAAAAATATATAGACTGATAAATTTTTTAAAAGTAAAAAAGTTTTGGAGTAAAAAATTTACTCCATGCCAACGGAGTGAATTTTCTTTTTTGGAGAAAAAATTCACTTTGTCCTTCATTCAAATTTACTCTAAAGTGAGAAAAAAAAAATTCAACAATGATTCATCTCCCCTTTTCCCCCACCCCCTTTGACCCCCTCTCTCTCTCATTGGTTACTTTTTCTTTTTCTTTTTTTTCCTGCTCCTCCAATCACCACCCGCCACGTGACAAAGGGGGTGAGAGGGTGACCCCCAAAAGGGGATCCCAAGCATTATTTAAAAAAATTTAGGGACTAAAGTAAATACGTAGCCCAACGTAAAGGGAAAAAAAAGAGTGTAATTTATCCGAAACAGAACTAGTCCTAAAATAAAAATTGAAAGTGGTAGTTTACATTACGGTGGTGCTATATGCATGTACACATTAATATACCAATTAGTGTTATATCATTATTGCTGACTTTACTTATTATACAAATTACAAATATCCAAAACCTTTAAAATTATATCATATCATCTATTAATATACTAATTAATACATTAATTAATACATATAACATTATTCATTACATTATTTTCATTGTCCTGAAAAAGACGGTAGGAAAGCAAATTCCATAATTAGGATGACTTTCGGTGTGGAGACTGAAATGCACCTTGTCCAAATTAATGTGATGTGTGTGGCCCTCCTAGGGTTTGAAGAAAAACTTTATTTAAAATTTGTCAAGAAAATTGTTATGAATAGAAAAGTGCAATTTAAATTGTTATGAATAGAAAAGTTTTCTGTACATAAATTTATGTACAGAAAACTTTTTTTTAAAAATGATATATAAATTTAATAATTGTGTAAATATATGTTTTAATAATGTGTAAATTTAATAATTGTGTAAATATATGTACAGAAATGGTTGATGTTTTAATAATATATAAATGAGATGATTAAAAAATATATGAAAAAGAGTTATCTCAGAATTCTAATTAATTATCAAATTGAGTTTGAAAATTTAATATAATTTATGAGCTAAAAAGTGCCTACATTTGATAATAATTGAACTACACAATGGAAATGGCTTAGAAACATTATAGTGAACCATACTTGAAATAGGGCCGGCCTTGGGCTAAGGCCACTAAGGCCTGTGCTTAGGGCCCCAAATTTTGGTCCAAAATAAGATTTCAAATTTATTAGTTTTATATTAAATTAAAAATTCAAAACCCAATCTTGTTTTTATTGTTTGAGACCCAGTCTAAAACGGCCCCTCAAAAAAATCTGTTGGGCCAAATTAAATATATATATATATAATCATTCTTAGGCCCAATTAAAATTTTATATAATTAGTCCAAACAAATATATATGATATAATGAGTGGTGTTTTGGAAAGATAGTAAAAAGCTGACTTTTTGGTTTTTAAAATTTTTTTTCACTGTTTTATGTGAGTCCAGATCATCTGCCATGGTTTTCTATAGTGGTTCCTGCTGTGGTCTCCAAAACAACGTCGTTTTGCCTAAAACGACATCGTTTTGTTCAGTGTTTTTTTTTTTTTTTTAAATTCAAAATTTTCATTTGGGCTATTTTCTCTTCTCTGTATCACCTTCTTTACTTTGCATCGTCGATCTACTTCAGTCAGTGAACCCTAGCAGAGAGAGAGAGAGGCAGAGACGTGAGAGGTGACTGAAAGTCAAAGTGAGGAACTGAGAGAGAGACGGAGAAACGAACGCGAACGGAGAGAGAAATGAACTGAGAGACGAAAGAGATGACGGAGATGGCGAAGGAGCAACAAAAAGGATGGCGGGCGACGGTGAGTCAGGCGGAGACGCGATGACGAGATTGTGGCGGCGACGAGGTCTATTTCATCATCATTGTCATCTCTTGCTGTTATATATATATATATATATATGATTCTTGGGTTAGATTTGTTATTGATTTTTGCAATGGGTTTGATTCTTAGGTTTGATAATTGATCTGTTGTAGTTAAATTTGTTGTTCTATATATATATATATATGATTCAGATTTTTAGGGATTCATATATAAATTAAATAGGGCCGCTTTGATAGTGAATCACATTTATTTGTATATATTATTTTCGGGGGATTCATTTATGATTTTCTTCCATTATATATATATATATATATTTGATTCAGATTTGTACAATTCACCCACAGTACCTGCAATTCAATATAAATGTGGTTAAACCTTGTTGTTATAAATATGAGAGCTGTGTGAAAAATAGCAAGAACATAGAAATTGATTTACAGTATTAATGCGTAGCATAGCAACGATGAAGCACATATAGTATTGTTGATGTGAGAGAAATTGATTATTCCAACTAACAAGGTTGAACCTTGTTATATGTATGATACTAAAATTGATTATGAATGGTCTTGTTATTTGTAGAAAAAAATAGCAAGAACAGGGATGGGTAAAACTTGTTATTTGTAAGATACTGAATTGCAGGTAATGCAAGAAAATAATATTGTTGATAAGTTGGCCAATTGTGGTTGGAAGCTGAAATTGGGAATGTCATTTGACTCTGAACAAGTTGCGTATGACTTTTACAATACCTATGGGGGAAAGGTGGACTTCAATATTAGGAAGGCCTATGCAAACAAGAACAAACATAGGAAAGAGATAACTTCACGGACGTTTGTATGTTACAAAGAGGGAAGTCAGGGTATTGACAAACAAGATCCACTTGTCAAAAATCTGAGATAAGAGATAAGATATGGTTGTGGTGTCCGATTTAGTATCAAGTTAGATAGAATTTCAGGAAAATAAATTGCTTACGATTTTCTTGAACATCATAATCATGACCTTGTGCCTCAAGATTGCATTCATATGTTGTCATCCCAAAGAAAAATATCTACCACCCAAGCAATTGAAGTAGAATTGACTTCAGAATCTGGAATTCCTCTTAGGTCTGCTTTATGGGCTATTTGGTGGGGAATCTGGTGGAAGAGCATCACTTAGCTTCATGAAATTGGACCAAAAAATTATTTGAGATCGAAGATACAAAAAGATTTGGAATATGGAGAAGCGAGCAGTGTGTTGCATTACTTTCATAAGAAAACTCTAGAAAATCCATCATTTTTTTATGCAGTTCAATTAGATTGTGAAGAGCAGATAAGTAAATATATTTTGGGCCGATACTCAAATGATCATGGACTAATGTCAATTTGGTGATGTAGTGACCTTTGACACTACTTACAAATTAAATAACGAGCATAGACCTTTAGGATCATTTGTTGGATTTAATCATCATCGAGAAACAGTTATATTCGGTGCAGCGCTGATGTATGATGAGACTACTGAATCTTTTACATGGTTATTTCAAATTTTTCTGGAGGCAATGTCAAACAAAGCTCTAAAAAATATTTTCAAAGATCAAGATGCTGCGATGGCTAAAGCCATTCCAATTGTCATGCCCGATACAAACCACCGACTTTGTATGTGGCATTTGATGCAAAATGTTGTCAAGCATGTAAGTTCTATTTTCGATGATATAGGGGTCAAGGCTGTGTTTTCAAAATTTATGCATGACATTGATGACGAAGAAGAATTCCGAATACAGTGGGAGCAAGTGCTTGATAAGTATGATGCACGCGACAATCAACGGTTGGAGCAGACTTTTCGCTTGAAGGAGAAACAGGGATAGCCATATATTATGAATTCTTGGGTAGCTAGAATGAATACTATTCAACTTAGTGAATCCTTCAATGCATTTTTGAAGGATTATCTGAATTATGACCATAACTTAATGGAGTTCTTTATGCATTTTGAGAGGGTGCTCTATAAGAAGAGGTATAAGAAATTGAAAGCCAAGTATAAATTGTCCCAAAAATTGCCGAGGGTTTCAATTCCAACTTTGATGTTAAAGCAAGTGGCAAAGATTTACGCCAAAACAATTTTTGAGGAATTCCAAAATGAGTACATGTAGTCTATTGAAGCATCCATTATAGGCACTATTAATGATGGTGAGAGTACCATATTCACAATAAGAACAGTGGTAGATGGAAATTAAAGATAAGAATGTGACAATGGATAGAGATGGTTCTTTGAGTTGTAATTATAGGAAATTTGAAGTGAAGGACATATTGTGTCGACATTGTATGAAGGTGCTTAGAGATATATTCAATGCAACAAAACTTCCTCCACAATACATACTCAAACAATGGACTAAAAAAGCACGGGCTGAAAGTGTGAAAGATAGACGTGGGTATGAAGTGAAGGCTAATGTGAAACTACATCAAAGCGACCGATATCGCTCATTAATGACTATGTTTAGAGAAATAACGAGTAGAGCCGCTGAAAGTGAAGAAACTTATCATTTGTTAGTTTCAAAAGGTGAAGAATTGAGTATAATGGTTGAAGACAAATTAAGTGTCCACATTTGTGGTCAAGTGGAGGTAAGTGATTTGAGAAATTCGTCAAGTAACACATGCCCACAGAGTGATGAAGTAGATTGTCCAATCTAAGCTAAGGGACTCAAGAAAAGAGAATCAACTAGTAAGGGAAGAAGGAGGACTAAAGGCGGGATGGAAAAATCTATTGCAAAGAAGAAAAGGATGCAATCTATTCTGGTAATTACATGAAAAATTGCATATGATTAAAATACACTAGATTAATAAACTAAAACAATGATTTTTTTTTATTTATTAATGACCCACTTTCATTATGGTTTTTCGTTGTATGTAGGGTGCTGCCGTTTATACTCCCCAATGTCAATCTCAGCCTCCTATCGACATGGGTAATAATTCTATTCAGGTAATATTTAATAGTAATGTAGTTTTTCCATGGTTAGTTTTATGAATTCCTTTCATTGAGTCCTTTTACTAGTTGTATGTAATTATGAACTATCTGATTACTTTTAAATTTTCTTATCTTTAATTGGTCTGCCTTGCAATGTAGTCTGGTGCTACTGTTTATACTTGCCAAGATCAATCTCAACCTCGTTTCGTCATGGGTAGTAATTCTATTCAGGTAATATTTATTTGTGTGCAACCTTTTAAGAAAATGTTAAATAATGTTTCTTTTTTTTTTTTCAAAATTTTTGTTTGCATACTTTATGTGACAACCCCGTTCTGTATTATACTGTTAACTCATTAATTATATAAGTGTTAATGTGCTTGATATGAAATTTGATGTTAATTATATGTTTTATGTGATTTTTGAATGCCTATCTATTGATTGTAGACATATTTGTTACAATTTCTGCTATAGTCCGAAATTGAGGGCTGTACAGGGGTCAGAAAACCAAAATTGATTAATTTATTGTGTTCAGCGTAATTTTTAGAGCCTATGGTGAAATTTAATTAAAATTGATTCAGATCAAATTAATTAGATTAAATTGAATTAAATTAAGGTTGATTAGTCTTAATTATGCTTAAGTAGTTTAAGCTAATCACCCACTATATATTTGTTGAGTTAGTGCCTAAGCTCATAATTTTGAGCTCATCTTCACCATTTTGTTGAGATTAAGCTATATATATAGAGAGAGAAATCTTCATCTTAGAGAGAGAGAAGCTCAATCTTGAGGAATTGGCTTGGAGGATTGAAGAATTTGGAAGCTAGGCTCAAGAAATTGCTAAACCTAGCCTCATTGAATATAGTAGGTAAGAGTTTAAACCTCAATTTGGGAGTTAAGTTGTGGATTTAAGAAGATAATGAGATTAAATGTGTGGTTGAACAAAGATTGTAGGAATTGAGATCAAATTGTATATACATGAATTCATGTTTTGAGCATTTTCTTTGATTCTTCAAGTTTTGAGCATGAACTTTGATAATCGTGTTGAATTGGGAGTTATCACTTACACGCATTCATGTTTTCTAAGTCTTGAAGGTTTGAAATACATGAATTCATGAATTGGAAGAGTTTCATACTCTTGAGCATGATCCTTGTCATTTATGTTGAATTTAGAAGATGAATATGTAGAATTTTATCCTTTTGGGCTTGAATTCTATGATTCATGATGAAATTGGAAGTTATATTGTACATGCAACATTGTTTCATAAGTCTTGGAAGCTTAGTTTTATGTTTGGAAAGTTACGAAAAAAGTTTTGAAATTTATCCTCACATGCATGAAGATTTGAGTTCAATTTTGGTGAATTCATGAGGCTTTGAGCAAATGATTTATGGATGATCATGTATTTGAGTTTTCTAAAATTTTTTATGATTATCAAAGTGTTTTCATGAGTTTGAAATGACCATGCAAGCTTTTACATGTTAAAATGTATTTTTAGAACTCAGATTTTCTATTTTGAAACCTAGAAAATTCACAGCTGGCTCAAGCGATCAAGTGGTGGCTCGAGCCAACATTACGAGCTCCCAGTATTTTGAACTCTGCAAAATCTAGCTCGAGTGAAGAAGTGGTGGCGCGAGTGCGCTCAGTTTTTGCCTTCAGTTGGCTCTAGCCACGAAAAGCTGGCTCTAGCCAACAGCTTATTTTCAGCATGTTTTCAAAAGATGTTTTAAGTACATATCTTCGCTTCCATCTCTTTTCGGGCATTCTTAAGCATGAATTATGACTTATTAAGGACCAATAAGCTAAGAAACAACATAAGTAAATGATTAGGAAAGAGAGAAAAGATTCATTTGGTTTGAACGTTGAGTTTCATCCTTGGAGCATGAACCTTGTAATCCATGTTTTTGAAAGAATTTTTAAGTATTATCTAAAGTTGTGGATAAGCCACGCAAGTTCATGATTTGAACCCTCTTAGGCGTACATTGTGCATTCTAAATGAATTAAAGGATTAGAAAGGAGCCTGAGAGAATTAAACAATGAGCAAATTAAATAGTATTGTGATCCGATTTGTGTATGTTTATGAATTGTGTGGGAGCATCCACGAGGACGAATCAACACTCCGAACATTGTGAGTAATATCTTAGCAAAGATATTTTCATGCATGTTCTTTTCTAAATGCTACCAATGTGGTAAGTTTTCGAACTCATGAATTTGTATTATGAATCAGTATTCTACCTATCTGATTCGTAAAAGGCTTGAAACGTAATTGATAAGCATGAAATTATAAGATTGGACCAAAAGTCGTTTTGTATGAACACACAATGGGCCCAAGGCTGTTTGGTATATTTGACATGGATACAGATTGGGCTTGAGGTCGTTTGGAATATTTAACAAGAGACTAAAGGTCATCTTATATATGAATTGGACTGAAGGTCGTTTTGTATGATTGTTAAATGGACCAAAGGTCGTTTTAAATAAGGAATCGAGTGGACCAAAGGTCATTTTGAATATGAATACGGATGTGATCATGATCATGAATGTGACTATGTGCATAGTTATGAATATTAGAATGTTGGACCCAAGGTCGTTTTGGTATTATGATATGAAGGACAGGTGGTCATTTGTATATGGATCCATTAGACCTGAAGTCGTTCTATGAATGAGTATTGGACCCAAGGTCGTTTTGTATAGATGGACCCAAGGTCGTTTTGCATACAATGGATCTGAGATCGTTTTGTATATGAGTTGGACCTGAGGTCATTTTGTATGTGAGTTGGACCTGAGGTCGTTTTGTATGTGAGTTGGATGTATTGGACCCTAGGTCGTTTTGCTTTGTTATGATCTATAAATCTGATATGAATGAGGATAGTAGTTCAAATGTTTAAATTATAAGTATGATTTATTTATGTACGAATCTCATTCATTAATCTCTTTACTCTGGTATTATTCACTAGGCATTAGCTCACTCCGTATTTATATGTATGTAGGTGAGTAGTGTGATGTCTAGCCCCAGCCTTAGAGAGATTGTGAAAGATTCTTGAAATTTTGGAGTTAGCCAAGGTTGCATCATGCACTGTGACACCCTAATTGTTTAATTAAATACCACACACACACACACACACACACATATATATATATATATATAAACGTAATTATGGTGGTATGTGATACTATATTATTAAATAAATAATAATAAATAATAAAAAAAATCTAATTTGGCATTGGGTTATCAAATATGGGATTAATTAGGGATTATTATTTAGGGCCAAATTAATACAAATATGGAATTATAATATTAGTTAGGCCAAATTAGAGTTAAAGATAGTAAAAAAATAAATATAAAAGTAAGAGTAAAATAAATAATAAATTTTCTATTGGTATGCGATAAAGTGTAATTTAATTAGGAATTAATTTGTTTATATGGTTATGTTAGAAAACTGGGCCAAAGTGTAATTATCATAAATATTCATTAAGATAAGTATAAATCCATGGTGATTTATGATCAAATCTGGGGAGGGATTTGAGTTGTGCCACGTGTTGGCCTCATGGTGCTTTTACCTCGCTATAAATAGGGAGGAGTTGAACAAGATCCGTGAAAAGAAAAGGAAAAAAAAAAGGAGAGGCACGCAAGAAACTTGGGAATGTTGTGATAGTGGAAAGTAAGGCTAAGGGTCAATATTAAGATGAATTATATTATACCTTGAGTCACCATAATAGATTTTACGTATGTTTTGACTTACCATAATTTATTTTATACAAGTTATGCTTTATAAATTATATTAATATTTCAATTACGTGTGTTATTTTCTAAACTCTATGTGTTTAAAATGAAACCCATGGATATGTTTGTATATATTTGACTATGACCTTATAAACAATTATGTTTTGTAATTACCATCACGGGAATCCCACGCCTTGGGAGACTTAAATAACCATTGGCCTCTGTTTGGCCATTTTGTGGTCTTTTGTTTGTCATGGATCCATTGACCTCTGTTTAGATTGTCACTTCTGTGACCTCTGTTCTGTACCATGGTTATAGTTATTTATTTATATAATTTTTGTATTTCAGTTTCTGCCATTTAAATGATTTATTTACCAAATTAAGTTATGTAAATGTTTTTGCTTCATTACAAGAAAACCTGGCAAATAACACAGAGGTTTTTGCGATGGGGTGACTGCCGTCGCAAAAAATGGTTTTTTGTGACGCATTATAGTTGCCATCGCTGAAAAAGTCTTTTGCGACGGCATGTATCTACCGTCGAGAAAAAATGGCCTTTTGCGACGGGGCTGACTTCCGTCGCTAATGATTGTAAAAGAAAAATGCAGGAACATTGGCGACGCACGGTATACCGTCGTAAAACGTATTATTTAGAAGCGGTAAGAAGTTACTGTCGCAAATGGTGGACCATCTGTGACGGCAGAAGCCCATCGCAAAAAAACTATGGGTAAAACGACGTTGTTTCATTTGTTAATTACGATCATTTGTAACGGTTGAAATATGCCGTTGCAAAAAAATGAATATTTGACATCCCGCTATTTCTATCCCATTCGCGGTCAAAGTTCCTAAAATCCCCAAAATCCTCAAATCAAAATCTATTTGAAACCGAAATCCCTAAAATCCCCAAAATCCCAACTATTAGAACCAAAATCCCCAAAATCCTCAAATCAAAATCATTCAAAATCAAAATAGTAGTGAACGACGGCCTTCGCAGAGTGACGAGGGTGAACGACGACCTTCGCCGGAGTGAGGAGCAACAGCGACTGTGAACGATGAGTGACGAGCGACTGTGAGCGATTGTGAACGACTGTGAGCAAAGTAAGTATTTGCTCTTGTGCTTTTTACTCGTACGTCTGCACTGTTGATTGGAGTAACTCTTGCCTCAAATCCAAGAAACATAACACATAGGTGAAGAGAATCGGATCTCTAACCTACGAGTGGGTTGCATGAACTCTTGGTTAATGGGCTAACTTTGTAGACATTAAAATATTCAAGTTCTACAAATTATGTGAAAGAAATGATATATCTATTCCAATAAATGTACTTGGTTCTAATGTGCAAAGAAATTGATGAAAGATTACAGCACAATGTCAAATATTGGGTCCAATAATTAAAAAAAAAACAATGGAAGTTAGTAAGAAAACAAAACTTGAATTTTTTGGAGTGAAGTTAGTAAAAAAAAACTATGGAAGTTAGTTAGATGTAAAAATGTTTTTCAAAATTTTGTTGAAGTGGCTTCAAAC